GGTTTTTAGATGAAACATTAATTATTTCAGTGGGACTGAATGGAAAGACAGGAATCAGCCTCCTGAACAAACCCTACAGAGCTGTTATAATTAAGTATGATTCAAGCTATTATGTGTTGGGAGTCTGTATCTTTCCATGATTCCTATGGTTCTTATAATTAATTAAGTTTCAAGTTATTATGTATTCTGAGTTTGTGTTTTGTACTGAGCTTATGTCCTTGAAGATAATGTGGCCGGTGAGAACCGGTTCACACACCTGGAGACAGCAGAAGCTCCTCTGTTCTATCAGATAGGATTGTTGCTTTAGCTACACGCCGTACCAACAACATCCACACACACTGCTCACCAAATGTCCAGGACGTGGACAGAGCACAGAAGGATGCCTGTCCACAGCATTAGTAACTGGCCAACTAAATCTGATCTATGTTGGGGGCAGGCCCAGCCCAAGAAGATATCTGGAACCTGGAACCGAAAAAACTCAGTTCAGCTGGACATGAGGTTCCTCTCTGTCCCTCTGAATTCCAGCGCTGCAAAACTTTACCTGTGACTGAAATAAATAAATGATACAACTGAGAACTGAAGATTTCTCCGGCTTGTTCTTGGGCTTCCAACTAAAGAACCGGATCTAACAGAGCCTAAACCTCTGAAGTCTTTAAACAGAATTAACGGCCTCTGTGTACTGAGATCGTTTGTGCTGCACCTTAAACCTGATTTCTGCTGACAGGTTTTGTTTCGACATCACGACCCTGCAGAGACCACGACGTAGCATCGCTCCATGAACACAGCCAGTCTAAGCTAACCCTGTTTTAAAGGAGTTGGTGTTACTGCATGAACTCATCTGTGCTGCTGTTTCATCCTGACTCTGGTTCTGGTTCTGGAATCAGAGACTCTGATTGAACAGCAGCTAACGAGAGTCGCTGCCTGTTAATGATAAAAACAAAAAGTGGAACCAACAAGTAATTTACCACGAGGAACTGGAGCTTCACTCTGTTTGGACTCGTACCTGCTCGTGGTCTGTGTGATTTGGATGTTTTCACTTCACCTTCCTGTTTCCAACTGTTGGTGAGGAGTTACAGCTCCAACAAAGCTTCACCCAGAGCAGCCGTCTCCTGGTAGCGCTGCTCAGCACTGAGTCATGCTGAGTTCCATTTAGCTTTTACACAAGAATTTACAAAAAAGACTCTTTCATGTAAAAGTGAAAACAGATTTCTACTAAATAATGGACGTTAATTAAAACTATAAACTGTAAAATAAGTGATTAACCTGCGACTCCTCTGAAGGAGGTACTAGAAGGAGACTAGTGAGGGAGGCCACCAAGACTCCTATGACTCCTCTGAAGGAGGTACTAGAAGGAGACTAGTGAGGGAGGCCACCAAGACTCCTATGACTCCTCTGAAGGAGGTACTAGAAGGAGACTAGTGAGGGAGGCCACCAAGACTCCTATGACTCCTCTGAAGGAGTTTCCAGCTTCAGAGACTGTTCATACAACAACTGTTGTCTGTTCTTCACCATCAAAGCTTTATGGAGACAAAGAGAAAGACTCTGAAGGAAAAAGCTCAGATTAAATCTGGACTAGAGTTCAGCAGAAGACATGTGGAGACTCTGAAGTCACCTGGAAGAAGGTTCTCTGGTCTGAGGAGACCAAGATGGAGCTTTTTGACCAGGACATGTTGGTTCTTGTGAGAATGGAGGCAGAGTTTCAGACAACAGCTCATGATGTGAGCCAAGACTTGGATGGAGGCTGTTCAAGGTACTTTTTAACTCAGCCTGAGCCTTTATTTACCTCCGTGGTCACAGAGAATCCATTTCTAAATAAAAGCAGTGCTGTCGATGACGTTTGAGGAGCTCATTGGGAAGTATGATATTCCACACAAACATCAATTTAAATTTTTACAGCTGAGAAACTTTTTAAGATCATCCCAAAATCAGCGTTTGCTGATCCCCCCGCTGTCCACCTTGGAAAAAGAAATGAATGAGGATCTACAGGAGGACCTGCCCTCAGAGGAATGGGAGGAAGCTGAAGCACAAACAGAAAGGACCAATACTCAGCAATACAGCTGGTTCACGAGGACATATGTGAGAGCAGAAAAACTCCATAAACATAATGGAGCTATCCCAGAATGATGCTGCAGGTGTGGAGAGGAGAGGGAGGATGTCATAAAGCCCAGCAGGTGTGGGGTGAGATTCAACAAGCAGTGGAGATCACACGAGGAATAAAACCAGCTCTGGACCCTAAACTAAAGGTTTATATCCTGATGAGCATCACGTGCAGGAAAATCATCAGTGCCCTGGATCTGCGCTTCAAGAAGAGTCACAGCGCTCTGATGGAGGAAGACCAGAAACCAGAACTCATGACCTGGATGAAGGAAACGTCCACAACTCTGCCGATGGAGAATCCCATCACATTAAAGGGCAGACTGGCATCCTTCCAAAACATCTGGGTCCTTTAATGCAGTCTCTGGGGAACGTGGTGACTGAGGAGGCATCACAGCCCCTCTGCTGTGTCCTCAACTCACTTCTTTTCTTTTATTTCTGGAATTCTTTATCCTGTGTCAACTGGATTTTTTGAAAATGAGAACTTTGCATAAACGTGAAAAAATGTCAAATTTCCCAAATGACATCAGAGAAACTCCTGCTGCTATCGCTAACTATGTTGTTTGTATGTTCAGGTCATGTACTGTGTTCTTCACAAGCTGACGTCACACAGACCCGGTACGCCAGTCGGGCTGATCTGAACACGGGACAGTGATTCAGCTGCTCCGGTGCTCTTTTGTCTGAGTGTCGTCAGGAGCAGAGCAGGTCTCTGATGTTCAGCTCAACCAGCTGAAGCTCTGCTGCTTTATGTCCCATTATTAAGCTACTATTACCACCTATTCACGCACTTTGTCTGCACTCATTATGCACTAACTCTGCTGTCTGTGAGTCATGCTGACTTCGTAGAGACCAACTTCTGACCACACAGCAGCTCATGTTAGAGCCTCAACAGCTGCTGACATGTGACCGGACTGGGTTTCAGCAGAACCATGAGAACCTGATGAGCAATGAATCACCACCAACTGAACTGATTCCATACTGATAAAACAACAGACCTACAGGTGAACATCCTGGTGACGTCACTCACAGGTGAACACAACTGAACCACTAATAACCAAACTCAGTCCCATCAGCCCCACGCAGAACTCCATTCATAAAATGTGCCATTTTGAGCTGAGGCGTACAGTGTGTGACTGAGGAGAGCAGTCCTCCTGCTGTGACCTGAGCAGAAGTCAGGTCCTGGTTCTGTACCGTTCGGCTCACATTCAGTCCGCCTCAGCGCTCCGGTGCTCGTCTTATTCCCACTTTGGTTGCTGCAAACAGCCGCTAACAGGCGTCACCGCACTTTAAAATGTAACAGAAAAAACATGAAGTTTGGTTCAGCTGAACATGAGCAGCAGCCCAAGTTACCGGCAGGTGACCACGTTCAAACAGGTAAAAGGTGAGCGCAGTTCTGAACGGGGCTCACCTGTCCGGACGTCGTGTTGACAGACAGAACTCACCTTCGTGTACAGCTCGTTCACAGACATCGTGCTGTTGGATCTCTAACTCTCTGTTTAACCGTCCAGAACCACCCGGTTCGGTCCTAAGCCAGCGGCCCGTCCACACTGCGCATGTCTACCGCCAGCGTCCGCCCGAGTTTCGATCACTTTGTTCGGTGTTTCGTGGAGGCGGCAGGTGTTTCCTCCGGGAAGAGGCCGCCGCCGCCGGTTTGTGCAGGTTCCCGGTTCAAACCGCCGCAGAACAGAAACCGGACCGAGGAAGAGATCCAGAAACAGAAACCGAACCGCCGTAAAGATCCAGAAACAGAGACGGAGCCGCAGGTGGACGAAGGGGCGGGGCTTCCTGACCGCCGCGTTACCTCACACCGCGTCTGATTGGCTGCTTCCTGAATCCCAGCCAGGTTACACACACACACACACACACACACACACACACACACACACACACGGAAGCACAAAATGCGGTGCTCAGCATGAGGCCCGCGGTCCCACGCAGGGCCCCGGCAGGCCTCTGGGCGGTCGGATGTGGTTCTTTGTGTTTTCACGTGTTTGGTCTTTGTGTCAGGACCCAGACGGTCCACAGGTTCAGACAGGAGTGAACCAAACACATGAACACAGCAACACAAGCACAAACATGCGACTAGAACAACCAAACTGGACCAAACTGACCGTCAGTAGATGCAGAACCACCACGGAGACGCATGAGAATCACTGCTGGATGCAACACGACGGCTACAGAGAGACACAGACAGAGCAGCAGCAGACACACAGCTGTGGTCCAGAGTCTGATCTGAACCAGGACACACGGCGAGCTGCTGCTGGACACGACCCGGCTGTGAAGTGACGACAAAACCAGTGAAAACAGGAGTTGGACACAAAGCCAGACTCATCAGAATCATGAAGAGTCTGCTTCACCGTCCAGCTGCATCATGGGAACCGTAGTGACGGCGGACAGCTGAGAGTCGCAGGTTCCAATCCCAGCTGACGAGCCGAAACCTTCAGACAACGTTTAACTAACGTGAAGCATTCAGAGACATGAGAGTAACTGAGTCCGTCTCCTCACACACACACACACACACACACACACACACACACACACACACACAGCGGCGGCTACACCTGGACACGCGTACCTGGCTGTAGGGGTAGTAGTCCATCCTGCTGCGATCATCTCTGTGGGAAACAGCCACCGTCTGACTGTCACAACAGCAGCAGCTCCTCCCAGACACACCTTCTGCAGGTATGAGCTGTTTACCTGCTCAGGTGTGACGAGACGCCGTCCACCCACAGCAGACATGACGCTGCAGGAAACTCTGCTCAGTGGACTGATGTTCATGATCCCCAGAGGAGGAACCTGCTGGATCGTTCTGTAAAGAACCTCATCAGAACATCTGGTTCTGGTTCTGCAGTACCTTTATCTGCTGACCAGAGTTCTACCTTCAGACTGTGAATGTTCCAGAGGTCCAGGTCCTTGAAGTCCACAGAGGAGGGTCCAGATTGATCACTTTAATGGACTTTTTCCATCATTTCTGAGCCTCAGAACTTCATCAGAACAGCAGATAGACACATGACATTTAGGAGGAAGAACACATCTGGGTTCTGCTAGAACCTGACACCCGATCAGTTCTACATCCATCCAGGTGTCTCAGTCTGAACACTGGACCTGGTTCTGTTCATGTCCTCTGTCAGCAGCTGGTAGTCGTTTTGTCACTTTATCGTCGTGATCGTTCTGTTGCTGCAGTTTGATCATTAAAACGGTTCAGCTCCTAAACATCCGGTTACAGCTTCGCCTTCACAACAACAACAACATCATCATCATCATCATCATCATCATCATCATCATCATCAGTGGTTTCATATTTGAAGTCAGTGGAACTTGGGCTCTTCTTCCCTCCACACTACTCTGGGCCTCTGCGCTGCACTATGTCAGCTGCTGTTATTGTCACTGACTTGTGTTTGAGCTGTTTCTGTATTTGTGCTCTATGTTCTGTGGCACCGACCCGCCTCGTGGTGTATGAACTATTCCTGGCAGGAAACCGGATTCTGGTTGAATTTTCTGCATTGTAATCAAACATCTCATGAACACTGTTGATGATTTCTCGTCCTGTTGTTGGTGTGTTTTGCTGAGGATCTCTGGGACGCTTTATCAACTCGTGGAGCTTTTTTCTTCATATTTTTTAGACATTTTATCATTTTGGGGAATTTTTACTGTTTTCAAACATTTTAGAGACACTTCAGGAATCAGCTTTGTTTGGAGTCGTTGTTCTTTCAAAGCCGGACGATTTTGTTTATTTAATTCAAATCACAAATGTTTTGTGATATTTGTGATTTAAAAACTTTTTTTTTTAATTCTTTTGAATTTTTTGGGGCAACTTCTGGTACATTGTGTGAAGGCTTATTTTTTACATAATATTTTTAGCATAATATTTCTTGTTTACATGTTTTGTGCTCTTTAATGACAGTTTGCTGGTGTTTTATTAGATTTTATTCAGTGTGTCTCTTCTCCACCGTCAGGGTGCAGCAGCAGCTTCCTGCTGGAGCTTCTTCACTTCCTGTCACTTTATATTCAGCAGATAAATCTGAGGCGCAAACAGGACAGAAGAACAAACTAAGTTCTGATCCACACTGAGCTGAGTTCTGCTCAGACATGAGTGATTCATTATTTATTAGTAACAGCAGTGAGTCCTGCTGCTGCTTGACTTCACTGATTCTTTCACAATGAGCAGACTGGATGCAACCTGAGCTCCTCCCTGAGCTTCAGCAAGCATTACAACACAGGCTGCAGTGATTCACAGCAGAACACCTGAAACCAGAGACAGCCACAGGAAGTGCTCTGCTCTGGAGGCTCCGTTAGCGTTAGCATTAGCTTTAAGTTAAAGTCTTCATTCAATTTGTCTGTTGAAACTCTCAACCCAAAACTGGTTCTGGTTGTTCTTAGGACTTGACTCGTTTTTCCTCAGCATGACTCAAAAGTCCAACAATAAATAAATGCAGCACGGATCAGAACCAGAGAACAGAGGAGCCAGATGTTGGAGATACATTCAGCTGATGGAGGAACATCTTTCTACACATGATCAACATCTGCAGGACGAGGACCAACATCAGCTCCAGTAGAATCCAGTGATTTGATGAAATCACAGTTTTAGGCTCAGATCTGGTTGATTTTTTCAACAGAACCACATGTAACACGTGATACGTTCAAGGACCAGCTGAAAGTTGTAAATGTGACAATTTTTCTTCTGTTTGGACAGTTTCTGGCTGATGAATGGAGCCATTTTGGGGATTTTTAAACAGTAAGCCTGACTTTCAAACACACCTGCGGGTTTAAAAGTTATTTATTGAGTTCTTCCAACAGAGCGTCATGAAGAAATGGAGGAACATGAGACGCAGAAACTCCACTCAGAGATCAGTTGAACCGTAAACTGCAGATCAAAACTTCTGTTTAATGAAACACTCTGGTGGGCAGCGGACAGTTCTGGATCAGTTCTGGGTTGGGCTCAGCTGGTGTTGGGGTGCAGATCTGGACCACCTGGACCAGCCGGGCCTCCTGAACGGATGTGGTTGTGCGCTGTGAGCAGCGGGTCGGGACAGGATCTGCTGCTTCTTGTGTTCCTGGAGCTGCTGCAGGTTGCGCTGCTGCTCAAGTTCTTTCTGTTCCTGAACTTTCTGCTCACAGAGAAGCTGCTGCTGCTGCCGGATCTGGTCCTGCAGCTCTGCCTGGTACCGAACCTCCATCTGGTGCCGGCTGCAAGAACCAAGATGGGCTCACGTTAAACAGGCAGCTAATACACAAGGAACAGTAGCAGAAATACTGTTCGTGGTTAAATACTGCAGTAGTAATACCAGGAATTCTGATTCTTCCACCCACACCAGAGCTGGTTCTGGAGTTCCACAGGGTTTCATACTAGGACTCATACTATTTCCACTGTTATGCAGACGACGCCCAGCTATATCTATCTATGAAGCCACATGAAACCAATCAGCTGGTCAGACTCCAACATGTCTGAAGGACATCAAGGTCTGGATGACCTGGAATCTCCTTCATGTAAATCCAGACCAACTGAGGTTCTTGTATTTGGCCCTAAACACCTCAGAAACACACTCTGGAACCAGATAGCTGCTCTTGATGTCATCGCCTTGGCCTCCAGTTCTACTGTACAGAACCTTGGAGGTGTTTCTGACCAGGACATGTCCTTCAGTAGACATACAGAACCAGTCTGTAGGACGACCTTCTGTCATCTACGTAATACTGTAAACATCAGAACATCCTGTCTCAGAGTGATGCTGAAAAACCAGTCCATCATTCAGAACTTCTAGACTGGACTATTGTAGTTCCTTACTATCAGGATGTCCCAGTAACTCTCTCAGAACCCTCCAGCTGATCCAACATGCTGCAGCAAGGTTCTGACAGGAACCAGTACCAGATCAGATGTCTCCTGTATCAGCTTCTCTTCAGTGGCTCCCTGTAAAATCCAGGATAGAATCTAAATCCTGCTTCTAACATATAAACTCTCCATGAGCAGCTCCATGTGACCTTACAGACCTCATGGTACCGTATCATCCTAACAGAACCCTTCGCTCTCAGACTGCAGGTCTACTGGTGGGTCCAGAGTCTCCAGAACCAGAATGGGAGGCAGAGCCTTCAGCTATCAGCTCCTCTGTTGTGGACCAGCTCCCAGTCTGGGTTCTGGAGGCAGACACCCTCTGTGCTTTAAGGTCAGGATGAAAACGTTCCTCTGTGATGAAGCTGATAGTTAGAGCTGCTCAGGATCACCTGAACTGTCCCTCAGTGATGCTGCTGTAGCTTCAGACTGCCGGGGACTCCCATGATGCACTGGGCTCCTCTCCATACACTTCTATCACTAACCGACCTCCAAACGTTCATGTTCTGTCTGCTCTCCATCTCCTCCCCCGTCCCCACTCTCACCCCAACTGGTCCAGTCAGACAGCCTGGCCTGGTTCTGATGGTTCTGATGAGGTTTCTTTCTGCTAAAGAGTTTTTTTTTCCATCTGTTGCGGTTTAAAGAAACTTTCTAAAGTTGAATTGAATGAAATACTCACAGTGTGACAGATTAAACCGGTAAAAGCAGAACAAGTGCTCATTTAGCAGAAGTACGACGTTAACAGCAACAGCAGTACTGTGTAGCAGAGTACTACACAGATACTGCAGTACTACAGTACCACAGTACTACACTGATAGTACGGTAACAGTACTCCAGTACTCCACAGTACCGTCTCTGGACCTCCTGCTCTTGCAGCCTGGTCTCCTCCATCAGTCGCTTCAGTTCTTCTCCGTCTCTGAGCAGCTCAGCTTGGTTCTGCAGGTTCTGGTCAACTGCACAGTAAAAACACAGTCAGGTTCAACCAGGTTCTGTTCTCAGATCAGGTTCATACAGCGGGACTCTGCTTCTCTTACGGTTCTGTTGGACCTGCAGGCGTCGGGCCTCCATCACCTGCTCCATCAGCCTCTGTCGGGCCTCCCTCTGCAGCCGGTTCTGCTCGTCTCTCTTGATCCACAACTCCTCCAGCTTCTGGTCCAGCAGCAGCTCCGTCTCCTCGTCCTCCTCCTGCTGCCTCTGCAGCTCCTCAGACAGGTGCTGCCGGTACCTGAGCTGCTCCTCACGCAGCCGCACCTGAAGGCAGCACATTGACACCGCCGGGCTTTACCAGAACCACCAGAGCCACCAGAACCACAACAAACTGCACATCAGGAGCAGTTCAGCATCAACCATCAGTCTGGTGTGATGAGACCCTCAGCAGACGAGGCGCTGCTGAGGGGGGACTGATGTTCATGATCCCCAGAGGAGGAACCTGCTGGATCGTTCTGTATAGAACCTCCTCAGAACATCTGGTTCTGTTCATGTGCTCTGTCAGCAGCTGGTAGCATCAGCATTATGGGATGTGTCACAGACCGGTGAGGCGTTCAGGTGACCTTACCTTCCTGTCAGTCGCCTCCTGCTTCTCGTCGGTGTCTTGCTGCAGCAGCTGCTGCAGGAGGTCCATGTCCAGCTGCAGCTCTGCTCGCCGCTCTCTGGACAGTCGCTTCATCTTCAGCCGCAGATCCTGATCCAGCTGCTGCCGTCGGTTCTGTTGAGCCTGAAGCTTCTGCTGCTGCTGCCGCTGCTGCTGCAGACGCTGCAGCTGCAGCTGCTGCTGCTGCAGGAGACACAGAGTTTACTTCAGATCTTCTCCTGCTGAAGCTGCGTCCCAGTTCAGAAGCTGCGTCTGTCGCAGGCTGCAGCTTCTGAACTGGGACGGCTGGACTCTGCTGCTGTCTGTGAAATGTTCTGTTCAGAGTCCAGACTGAAGCTCATGGAGCTGCTGCAGATGTGTAGATGTTCTCACCAGCAGTCTGCTCTCCTCCTCCTTCAGCTGCTTGTGCTGCTGCTTCTGCTGCTCAGCTTCGTCCATCTGCTTCTTCAGGACGTCCAGCTGCTGCTCGTCCTCCTGCCTCCTCCTCTGGACTCTCCGGTTCTCCTGCTGCTCTCCGGCCCGTCGCTCGGCCTCCATCAGCTGGTGGAACAGCTTCTCCTCCTGCTGCTGCCGAAGCCGCAGCTCCTCCCTGACCTTCACCTGAGCTTCCTGATCCCGACTCACCTGCTGCCGTCGCCGCCTCACCTGTTCGCTGCGCAGCTCCTCACACTGCTCCCTGAAAAAAGCCCGTTTTAGCTGTTCAGCGTCCTGATGGGTCAGAGGTTCCCTCTGTCACCGACAGCATCGACAGACAGCAGGTAAACTCTCTCACTGGTTCAGATCAGCTGCAGACATCCTTCTTTCTCAGGATTCTGCTGGTTTTTAACTTTGCTGCCAGATTGTTACAGTTTTTTACTGATTCTTCAGACTTTCTGCTGAGCAGCACCGGACTGGTCCTCAGTCAAATGTTCTGCTGCTGATCTGAGGCTAAAACCCACCTCTGTGGGTTCTCAGTGTGTCAGAACTTTCTGCTGTACGCTCAGAACAATAAAGGTTCTTCAGGTTCTTCCTTATTGAACAGTTGATGGCTTCAGTGGACCTCTGATCACGTTCCACCAACAGACTGCAGAGGGTTCAGTTACCAGCGATGTTCAGACTTTAAATCCTGAACTCAAGTCAAATGAAGTTATTAAACCAAAACTAGTTCAGTTCCCTCAAACTGAATCAACCAGAACAGAAGCTGGAGGTTAAACTGCTCCCAGTGTGAAGTCGCAGGTTTATGAACCAGCAGAAGACCGTTTGGTGTTTAGTGACGTGGAGGAACAGCTCCAGAACCTTCACTGCTGGCTCTGAGGCACCTTTGGGGTTCTTTAAAGAACGTCCAGCTAAAAGGTTCTTCTATAACTGCCCAGAACCAGTGTCGGCACCAGTTAGCACATATTTTTCTGAGTGTAGTAAAAACTCTCTGACGTAGAGGATGGAGCGTGTTGCCTGGAAACGGTGACGTGGAACCTGAACAGAACACCTGAAGCGTACCTGAACAGAAGCTCCATCCTGTCCGACACCAGCTGCTTCCGCTCCGTCTCCCTTCGGTCCCTCAGAGCTTCAACTTTCTCCTTCATTTTCATTCGTCTCTCCTCTGGCGTCTCCTTCTTCTCCTCCAGCTCCTGCAGCAGCTGCAGCTCCTCCTCCTGCAGCAGGAGGCCGAGTCTGGAGACCAGGAGGAGACGTCACCATGACCAGAACATCTGCAGAACATCTACAGAACATCTGCAGAACATCTGCTGACATCATAACCTGAAATCTCTGAACTCTGGAGATAAATGTTTTCTTGTAACTGAAGATGTGTTTTTCTAAATTTTGACACTGTTCAGTTTTCCTTTATCAGATATCAGTTATTGATCTCTTTAGTATTGATCACGCGCCTTCTGATGTCACGTGCCAAACAGGTAAAGTAACTTGGAGTAACCAGGAGGTAATCTGAGTAAACCTGAGCCTGCGTTGCTGCAGTCCCGCCTCCTGCTGCTTCACTGCAGCTTGGACTCTTCGCTGCAGCTCGTCTCTGACGAAGCGTCGCTCGGAGCTCTGAAGCCACGCCCCCTGGATGTCGCTGCGCCGCTGCTGATTGGTGAACTGGAGGAGCTGCTGGGCCGCGTCCCGTTTCTGTGTGTGCAGACTGATGTGGGCCGCAGGCGGCTTCGCTCTCTGAGCAGCAGACAGAGGGAAGCTGGAGTACTCTGGACATAACTGCAGTACTTCATATGTTACTGCATTACTCTGGACATTACTGCAGTACTTCATATATTACTGCAGTACTCTGGACATTACTGCAGTACTTCATATATTACTGCAGTACTCTGGACATTACT